TATCGATAAGTTAATTAAGAAAAAGTATAACTAATTTATCGATGATGAAAATGTTTAAATGTTAAATGTTACACTTATCAAATATTATTACCATAGGTGAGTAAAAAAAATTTTTATAAATTTTATTAATCATTTGAATAATCAAAATTTTCGATTATTTTACCGATAAAAATTTTCTTGAGTATAAATAATTTATCGATAACTCAAACTTTAAAATTTGGTAAATGTGACACCTTTCAAATATTTTCTTAAGTTATTAAAAATAACTCTGAATAGTCGATTGCTTGCTTAATATTTTTGGTTAGTAATGACTAAATTAAAATAAAATCTTCCAATTCAAGTACTAGTCTAATAAACGATAAGATGAGCGACTATGAAATAATAATGCTTCTTTTTTAACAAACCGTAAAGACAGATCCATTCGATTCGTTGATCAGCACCTCTTTGCTCTGATGGAAGTTCAGTCCAACAACACCGCCTTCTTGACTCGAGCTGGGCTTATCCATTTTACTGCCGAATGCCATGGCATGTAATGAGATATTATTACTGTTAGTCGTCAAAAATCACGAGCAATGAGCATAATTAAATCACAACAACCACAAAATAGAGATAAATCGATTGCAACGTGAACCGCATACATGAAATTAGCGGCACAATCAGTGTTACCAACGCCATTAAACGAGCGATGAGTCACAAAATACGAGCGCCCGCACACATACATACATACATATACATGCACATATGTGTTGTGAGTGCGTATGTAGATGCATACATACGGTTATGTAGATGGATCGACACCGTGAAGAGCACAACAGCAACAACAACGAGGATGCCGACGGCGATTGCGCAGATCACGTTTACAGGGTGAGTGGTGAATATGCGTTTAAATATGTGAAGAATAAGATAAAAACGAAAAACAAATCGTACATATGTATTAATTGATATTCATGCTATGGCGTACAATGTTTGAATGACAATGATGGTTAGCTACAACAACTACAAACACACGCAAATACAAAAATGGCCAAAAAACAATGTCGAACGTGCAAAATATTATGTAAATTTGAGGTTTCTTGAGAGCATTTCAGTACGCCCAGCTTCTAATGTTGCTAATGTCGCATTTTGCTGCGTATGTGTGTGTGTCTGTTTAGTGTTGTGTACTTGTTGTAAGACTAGACTATTAGTGGCAAGTATTATGAGTAGTTGCTCTCAACCAAGAATGCTTAATTCTACCGAAATTAATTAAGAAATAAATTCGCAACGAGACTCACCTAAAGTTCACATTCGAGATTTCACCCTTCTGGCTTTGCATGCGCGACAATTTCAGGAAGACTTCCTCCAGACTGATGCATTTGTACATGGACAGCAAAACGCTTGGCGACTCCTCGGCCAGCAAATGACCCGAACGCATAAGACCGATCTGCAAGACGAAAAGAGAAACATATAAATAAAAGAAAAGTATTAAAAGTAATCGCGCCTCCAACGCATAGCAGCGCCAAACATTATGTTCCCCATCTCTCAACTACACTCATACGCACCGTATGTGCTTGACGCGCCTCCTCAATGTAATGTGTTGTGATGATGACTGTCTTTTGGCCAGCCTTTGTGATATGTACCAAATGATTCCAAATGCTCTGACGCAACAACGGATCCACACCAACTGTGGGTTCATCTAAAATCAACAATTCGGGATCGTGCATTAGTGCCACAGCAAAGGAGACACGTCGCTGTTGACCACCACTCAAATTCTTCACCAAACGCTTCTCCGACGGCAAATCGAGGAAATTCAAAAGAAACTGTAGACGTTCCATGATCTCTTTGGTGCCCATACCGAATATCCAGCCGAAATACATCATTGTCTCACGTATAGAGAACTCGCCGTAGAGGGCGATCTCTTGTGGCATGTAGCCGACGCGTTTGCCAGGCACGCCCGAACCGAGTGTGCCTGGTTTGCCGCCGAGCACGAAGATCTCACCCGAATCCAGGCGACGTCGCCCGACAATGCACGAGAGTAGTGTGGTCTTGCCGCAACCTGAGGCCCCGAGTAGGCCGTAGCTGAAAAGAGAGGAAGATAGATTTTCCATTTTAAAATAGTGTTAAAAAAAAAAATAATTGAGTAACGAGTTTGCTTGAAATATTTTGAGTCTCCAAAAGGTCGCACTTAACCTATCACAAATCTGCTATGGAGTTTTATTTATATTTTCACTATTTCACCTGGATGTCTGAATGTATGAGATCCGAAGATCCCACAAAAGTGAGACATTCGAAAAAAGAGTGTTCTGATGATTCGATCTGATATTCTTCCAAATAGCTGATGCCAGCTGAAATCTGGTAAGATGATCAATTTTGCTTCATCCCGATCTAGTTGGAACCATACAACCATTGAAAGTTGAACTTTGCTGAGAGCTCCCTAGACTTCTTCCGATTTACCCCGGGTCTGCACAGTCGCTGGTAGTTGACTAATGCTTGCTGAGATGGTTTGAGGTCCAACAATTCAGTAATAAACCACAGAAAGTCAATGAAGGTAGAACAGGTATACCAAGCTTATCAGCCTTACAGTTTCGTGCAATACTGATGTGGCCAGGTCTAATCATAAAATAGCTAGATACTAGAGATAAGGAGAATAGACAAACCCTTCACTAGTCTTACCGTCATCAAACTCAAGGTAGCCAGTCACCACTCAGAAAGAAGCTATGCTCCGTCGCAATAGATCTACAGCTACCTTTTTAGCAGCCATTTCTGCTTGAAAGATGACGCAGTGGTCAGAAGGCTTATTACGTCAAACTGGTTAAAGCCGACTTATGCATCAGAAGAGTACATATATCATTTTGGGAAAATAACTGAAATATGTTTATTAGAAAGCATAGGTTTCGGTTGATCAAATTTAAGATCTTGTTGTCTAGATTTAAGTCCACTTAAACTATCAAATATTTATGCTTGAATGCATAAGTTGGCATGGAAGGAGCAATATAAGGTATGATGTTTAGAAACTGTTAGGAAATCTGATGTTGTGGTTGCTAGCAGTTCGGGAGACCATAATTGTACAGTCTTCTCTTATGCAGCTATTATGGAAAAATATTTCTTGAAGTAATATTTCCGACAAAGTCAAGGTCGTAACGACCAGCCCTGTCGAGTAGCATAGCTTTAATTTTATAGAAGGGGGTTTTCAATATGAAATCTAAAACGATCAACAAAATTTATTTTTACTTGAAGAAGATTTTGTCATATACAGTTCATTGAGAACATGCAACATCTGTCTTCGACGAACTAAGTTTGTAAGTGTTTATGTTAGGTTATTGTTGCTTGAAAACCTTAAATGTTGGCAATACATAAAAATGTCGTTTACACAAGTATATTACACATATATATAAAAGGTAAAAATCATGACGCTAATTAATTTGGAGTATAAATGGATATAATCTGCTTTTGTATGGAGAAAACTACTACCCATTTAAAAATTAAGCAAGTTTCCCAGAGTCACTCAGTAAAATACCTAAGGACACGTTAGAAACCTCACAAAGCATATACATACTATACATATACATATATACGCATATTATATATGATCAGCATGACGAACTGAGTCGATTTAGGTATATTTTTCTGTGTGTCCGTCTGTCTGTCTTCATATAATCCTGCGGCTTTTGAGATATCGATATTTTTTTAATGAAGCTACATATCGTCACCTAAAATGCAAAGTAACGTAACATCATTTTTTATAAGTTTACAGAACTCACTCTTATTGAAACGAATTTGAGTTTTGGTTATAAAATAGTTATATATTGGTTATATACTGATTACATACTGGTTATATACTGATTATATACTGGTTATATATTGGTTATATCTGAAAGCGGAAGCTGTCTAATATGATATAGTGAATTGTAAGCAATAAAAAACTCAATTCCGTTTCTTTCGATGATTTTAGGTGACGACATGTGCCTTTATAGAGTACATTCTGGCCTCAGGTCATTGTGATTCATAAACATTTTGTTATACGAGACCCCAACAAGCCGTAAAAATATTTCTTACCTAAATGCATTATAAACTGTACACAGTAGACAGCTTCATACATACATACATATATGCAAAACTTATATTTCGGCTAAGATTGACATACATAGATATAAATTTAACTTGAACATTGACATGCACACAAACGCGACTCAATGCTAAACGGCACAGTTCAAGTTGAAATGCGGTTCAAGATGACAAGAAAAACAAACAAACAAATAAATCAAGAAAAACAAAAAATAAAACAATAATAAAAATGAAGAAGTAGAACAAAATAAAAATAATAATAACACACAAAAAATAAATGGTCAACTAAATGCTGCGACCTACCGACAAGCGCAGATAAACCGTGCCAATACATACATATATAATATATACAAATACACAAACGTACATATATATGTACAGGCAATAAAATATGATTAAAAGCGTCGAAACAGCAAAAAGTCAAACCAAAAAAGCAACAAAGAACGCTGAGAAAGCAAAATGGCACCGGCAAGTGACACCTTGAATTTGGACCACACACAAACTCACATATTTACATATATACAAACATAAAATAGTCAGCAGTAAATATACATATGTATGTGTGTATATTTTTCAACTCAGTTTCGGCAACTTTTTTGGAAATCTCTTTGAAAAATAATAAAACAAACAACAAATGTCACACAACTGCGCCGCTTGAGGGTCTTTGCGGCAGCGGCACGTACCTTGCACAATGTCTATTGTTTATTGCTGTTGTTTTAATTGCAATTCTACAATTTATTATATATAATTGCAAACGATTTTCCAGCTGATAAAAGCGTATTTGCGCCAAAAGCAGCAAAAAAAAAAAACAAAAGCAACACTACAAGACACAAGTGTGCCATGCCGAGGTATATAATATATGTGTATGTGTATATGTATATGTGTTTATATTGTATACACACTGATATAGCCAAAAAACATAAACAAAACAGCGCAGTTCTTTGATTAATTTATTTGGCGGGCAAAGCTGCTCGATTAACGGCAGTGACTCGCTGGTCAATGGCTACGCCTGCTCGCTGCCCACTCTCCGCGCTGCTGGTGCTGCTGGCGTTGGCGTTGGGGTCGCCACCGACTTTGTTGCTTTTATTACTTGTTAATTTTATTGCTGCTATTTGTTCGCTGCAACTTTGTTGAGGGTCAAGCCGTTCAATGTGAGTTTATATGCGTGTTTGGTTGGTTGTTCAGCCGTGTATGTGTGCCTTTGTGCCGGTCGATTGGTCATTTAGTCGCGCAACAATGCCACCAGCAATCGGCACCATTTTTTTTTTAGCTTTTGTGGCTTAATTACTTAATTCCAAGCTGTTGACTTGACTTAATTCATACATACATACACACGAATATATATCATACAGATAAATTAGAAGATGTCTTTGTGTCGCTTGTATGTTGGCGGCAACAACGCAAAAACAATTGTGCTAAAGCTGAGGTGTGAAAATTGAAATTTTGTGACTCAATATTTATTTAATTGTTACTTCACCTTTTTTGGTTTATTCAAATTTTTTTCATAATATTTTTTTTTTTTTTTGGTTTATTTCTTTGCTGTTCTATTTTCTGCCTGTTGTTTTAATAATTT